GGGGATATAGGGGGGCAAGGAAGGAGGTGGGAGACTCACGCAAGACCAAGCATGAAGATGCCCAGCACAGCAATCTTGGCGCCCCGCGGCATCTTGAGCCCCAGGAAGATCCAAAAGGGCAGCAGGACGACGGCAAAGTCGGTCAGGATGGTGATGCACGAGATGATGACGTGGAACGCGTTGTCGATGCACTTTGTGTTGGGATCGGCCTTGAGAGCAAAGTCCCAGTTGGCCGCGACGGGCAGGCACTGCAGGGCGGCGACGAGGAAGACGGCGACGGCCTGCAGGCCGTTGAAGGCGTTGAGGAAGTGGATGGCATACTTGACGCCGGGCTTCTGGCCGCCCAGGCGGTAGAGGAAGCACAAAACGCTGGCCTTGACCAGGGCCAGGATCGGGTTGTAGAAGAGCTGGGCCAGGTAGAACCAGAACATGCCTGGGGAGGGATCAAACGGCGGCACGTCCTGCTGGCGCCAGCCAAAGTAGTTGAGCTTGATGTCTGGGAGCCTGCTTCAGCCATTTACTCTTGCGGTGTTGAGAGGGAGGGGAAAGAAAATGAGGGCGCCCGGCTTACACATGTAAAAGGGGCCGACCATCATGAGCGAGAAGATCATGGCGAACGTGACCAGATAGTCGTCGAGCCCCCATGTCCGCGTCCTGATGCGCGTGTACGCCCTAAGGCAGTACGTGACAAAGGCCAAGGCAGTGAAGAAGATAATGACAAACAGGCCGGCAGCCTGCAGAGGCGGCGTCGGGATGTCGAGAACATTGCCATGTTCGGGGCGGCGAGGGAGAATCACCATCTCGCCCCAATTTGTTGAGATCCGAGGAGGAAGATCGGCAAGGCTGTGGAAATGCTGAGGTCGGGGGACGCCCGGGGAGCCGATCTACAGCGGCGTGGACCGCGGGAGGCGAAAGATGGAGATCTAGGCGGACCGGCAACGGGTTGACGAGAGGGGGCAAATGGGGGTATTTCACAGCATCGTCTCCGGCCCCAATGGTGGTGGTTCAACTCTGACAGGAGCGAAAGGGAATCAAAGGAAGCACACGCAGGCCGTCATGCCTCGGCGTGGCAGCTTGGGGACTAAAAACGGCCACTTGTTGAGGCTTGACCGAGTATGGACCAAGACCGAAGAACAGATCGAAGGACGGTCCCGGGTCGGCTTCTGTCTCCCCGACACGTCGTTCTTTGTCAACATCTACCGGGATCCCTGCCCAGCTGCCTGTTAGGGCATTTCCGCGATGCGCCATGTTTGAATCGGTGCGCCTTGCGAGCGTCGAGAACGCTGAGAGAAGACAGTTTCCTGTCTGGGCGCCCTACACTGGCACCTTGCAGCGTCCACCATGTACGGAACTTAGCACGGATATATGCTGCGAGCATGGTGAACCAGGTCAACGGGTTCTCGGCCATCATCGCGGAGATGCTGATCACTGGGCAGTGAGTGGTGCGCACTGCTGCGGCCGAGATGTGGTGGGCCATGGTGCCTGGTGTACGAGGTTTCCTCCTCTGTTACCCTGCATGCTCCATGCTCCGATAATCCACTTCTCCTGGCAGCAGAGTCGATCATTTCCTTTGGCAGTGTAGTCGCCAAACGGACAAATTCCTCGAAGCCGGACCTACCTCCGTACCGCGGAAATAAGCCGCCAGGCAGGTCCGTCCGGAAACGCGAATCTGCGTACGGAGTAAACAAATTTACGGTCCAAAACATGGCGCGCCAGGCACTGGCTATAGATATACCCAACAAGACGGCCTGTCCTTTACCATTAACTTCGTCGTGAGTCCGGTATCTGAGTTTTTTTGATGCAGACCAATGGGTCGGCTCCTCGCGATACGGGCATTGCGGACACAACTCGAGATGCCGAAGTCCGGGTATCCATACAAGCGTGGTGGAGCTCTGCATTAGAGAGTCCATCAAGGCAGGGAGGCGTGTCGTTGCATGATAAGACGGAACTCACCGCTTGAAGACCTTGAAGAGAGGCCATATCAATGCAAAGAGAGCGCGAACGACGACGATGGGAATCATGCTGCGATGGCTGGCTTAGATCGGTGTTCAACCCGTTAGCTTCAGTGAGGTCTGAGGCTTGGCTCTGAGCATGCAGCTTGGAGGCGCAGCCATCGAGATAGCCGAGAGCAACACGTGGAAGAAGCGAGAAACAAGTGCCGGCAGGACGTCGGTATATTTTGCCAGTGGGCACAATCCCTCCCAAATTCGACCCCATGGGACGAACTATCGACTGTTAACGCCAACGGCCAGCCGAAACCCGAGGCCTTGTGGATGCCCCCGACATCATTCAACGGCGCGTTCGTCTCGGTGTCGTCATTTTCGAGCTGAAAATAATGCCAGACGATCACATTGACTGCTTTTCAGTAAAAAACGTCGTTGCTCTCGACTCTTGATGCTTTTCAATGCGGATTGTGCCAGAGCCGGATATTGACTCCCTTCCCCCACAAGGACCTCACTGCAGGTTACCATCCGATGTGACGTTGCTCCGCACGCCAGGGTCATCGCTTTGATTGCGCGGCAGGAGTCGGCAATCGCTGATTCGGGTCATCCTTCCTTCCTTCCCCACCACCGTCAAAAGGCACGCAACAGGGCCCAAAGTGGAGACAAAGCCCGAAGAGCTGCCGAGAAAAGACGCCCACAAATTCCTGAATCATGCAATTCCCAATGCGGAGGCAACACAGGTTGACCGGGTCAAGCACCGCTGGGTTATTCATCCGCGCCAACCTCTCGATATCCACCAGAAGGAAATGACAAGTTGGCCCGGTGCTGCCGCCGGCGCCGGCTCGCCCCACATGAGGATGAGATTATTGCTTTTACGGCTCCAGCGGAGTGGTGCACCACGTGGGATAACGCAGCCCGCGCGTGGCTCGCCGGGTTTCTGATTGGCGATTCGGCAGCGTATCCGATCGGGGTCCCGGAGAAGGGAGGGAGGATGACGGTATCCTCCGGATGAGACGCTCCTCCACACACCGCGTATATAACCATGCCGCTCGTCGCGTGGGAATAACGTCGCAATTCTCTCGCTTTCCTGCCCCAGGCCTCGGACCAGTTCGATTTGACAAGCCCCTCGTTGATCTTGTCGATCGTCGCCATGGCTGTCCTCTCGCTCCCACGCGCCCTGCTTCTCGCGGGTGCCGCGCTCCCCCTGCTGGGCTTTGCCCAGACCATCACCACCCAGGAAGGCGAAGTCATCCGTAAGTTCCATCCCGCCAGTGACTGCTCAAAACCCAGAACCGTCCTGACAAGTACACAGCCGCAAACGAGATTACTGTCGCCCCTGCCGCCGAGGTCGTCCAGGACGAGCCGGAGCCAGCCGCGCTCCAGCTGACTGACGCTGTGCTGGCCAACCTCACGGCCTACCAGCTGAGCAACATTGAACTCTTCCTGTTCGACTCTAACACAACCTCGACCAGTGTGAAGCGCACCGAGGTCGGTGACTGCAAGGTCTACCCCGGCGACGCGAGGTGGCCGTCGCGCCTCGTCTGGTCCGTCTTCAACCTGCTGTCGGGCGGCGCCCTCATCGAGACGGTTCCTATCGGCGCCGTCTGCTACCCCAACAGCGGCGTGTACGACTCCGCCAAGTGCCAGAACATCATCGATAACTGGACTCAGTCTGCCACTCAGTAAGGCCGCCCCGGAGGCACCTGAAAAACCATGTGAAGCTCGTGCAGACACACACACACTAACACCCCCTCAGTGCCAGCGACCCGACTTCGGTCATGTCCCCCCTGTTCCAGGGCGAGACGTGCATGCCGCAGAACGGCAACTCGTCGCATTGCACCCTGGGCGGCTTCCCTTCGTACGCCGTCAAGGCCACCAGCGTCTACCAGATCCAGCTGGCCGTGAACTTTGCCCGCAACATGGGCCTGCGCCTAATTGTCAAGAACACGGGCCACGACTTCCTGGGCAAGTCGCTCGGCGCCGGCGCCCTGTCCATCTGGACCCACAATCTCAAGACCATCAAGTTCAAGAAGTCGGTCAAGACCCCCTCGTACTCCGGCCCGGCCATTGAGCTCGGTGCTGGTGTCCAGGTCGGCGAGCTGTACGCCGCTGCCAACGAGTTCGGCGTGACGGCCGTCGGCGGCGAGTGCAAGGGTGTCGGTGTCGCCGGCGGCTACTCGGCCGGCGGCGGTCACTCGCCGCTCTCGAGCAAGTTTGGTCTTGGTTCCGACCAAATTCTGAGTCTCGATGTGGTGCTGCCCAACGGCCGCTTCGTCACGGCCAGCGAGACGGAGAATGAGGACCTCTTCTGGGCTCTCCGCGGCGGCGGTGGCTCCACCTTTGGCGTCGTCACGTCCATTCTCGTCAAGGCGCACCCCAAGATGAACTTCTCTGGCCTGACATGGACCATCATGGCCGGCCCCGACACGGCCAACTCGAACGACGTCTTCTGGCAGGCCATGTACGCCTACTGGGCCAAGTTCCCCGAGTTCGCCGCCAAGGGCTCGTACGGCTACGGATCCATCTTCCCCACCGGTACGGGCTACATGTGGAGCATGAACCCCTGGCTGGTCCCCGGCATGGCGCTGGCCGACTTCAAGGCCATGGTGCAGCCACTGTTTGACGAGTGGACCGCCATGGGTTTCTCTTTTACTCCTGTCTTCTTCGAGCACGACAACTTCTACGACACGTGGTCGACGGGCCACTTCCCGACCGAGGCCGTCGCCAACTCGAACCTGCGCACCGCCTCCCGCCTCTTCCCGCGCAGCGCCTGGGCCAACGAGACGGAGCGCGTCGCCATGTTCGACGCCGTCCGCTCCGTCGTCGAGGAGGGCTCCGCCCTGATTCAGTACAACATGAACCCCGCTGCCCCCGCCGGCACCCCGGCCTCGGGCGCCAATTCGCACTGGCGCGACGCCGTCTGGTTCGGTATCATGGGCACCGGCTGGGCCCCGGGCATCTCGCAGGCCGAGCTCGAGGCCGTCCAGCGCAAGATCACCGACGACTGGATGGGCCGCCTGCGGCCCTACGGCCCCGGTGGTTATATGAATGAGGGCGACGTCATGGAGCCCGACTTTGCCGAGGCATTTTTCGGTACCAACTACGACCGCCTGCTGCAGATCAAGCGCCGCGTCGACCCGTACGATGTCTTCTGGGCCCCGACCGCTGTCGGCTCGGAGCGCTGGAAGGTTGCGGGCCAGCCCGACTGGCTGACGCTGCAGACCGGCAAGCTGTGCAAGGTCTCGAACTAAGTCACGCAGTAGCTGGGAGTTCCGTCCGAAGGAGTGGTGAGCTTGTTGAGGAACAATAGCAACACAGTACATGTAGAGTGTATATATAATGTCTTGGTCTAACTTATCCATTGTAATTTTTTTTTTCCCTCGATCAACCCATTTCCATCGAAGCAGAAATCTCAACGCCCCCTTGTCTTAGTTCTCAAATGCATGCCATCCCATCCCATCTCTTACGGCTGCACAGGGCAGGGGCCCTCAATCCTCCTGATACCCATCCTGATCCGTCCGCGTCACCTCCTCCAACTTGCTCTTCTCATAGTGATCCGACCCGAACCGCAGCGGCAGACAAAACATATCCTTAAAACACACCTTACCCTCGGGACACTTCATCTTTCTCATCTCCTCCCCCGCCTCCTCCCCCCCAATATCTTGACAGACGTCCGCAAACGGCCAGCACACGCCCGGCCCGTCGCACGCGGGACCGCACTCGCTGGCGGCGTGCCGCGGGTCCGCGACGCACATCTCACGCCGCTCGTCGCAGTCGTCGTACAGGGCCCAGCCCCCGCAGAGCGTGTAGATTTGGGGCGGAGGGTGCAGGGAGGAGGTGAGGTCCTGGCAGGTGCCAGAGCAAATTGGGTCGGACCAGTCGGTGCAGTTGGGGGAGAGGGGGATGCAGGTGAGGTTGCCGGCGCAATCGCCTTGGGATTGGCTGCAGGGTTGGCCGAGTTCGGGTGCCGGAGGAGGAGGGGGGAGATCGAGGTGTGGGATGGCTGTGGAGAGGGGGGAGGTGCTGAGAAGGAGAATGGCGGCGGTGGTGGTGGCGTGGCGCATGATGGGCAGTAAGGAAAGGGACTATTGTTGAAACCGTGAAGAAGAGATTATGCCAACATGAGTGAACAAGATGTGAGGTGAGGGTCAATGGAGGTGGACGTGTTGCTTGCCATTATGGTGATGCTTAAATACAAGTCCCCCATGTTTCACCGTCCTACGCCAGTGGTCCCAAGAAACAACTCAAGTTTTAAAAATATCCAACAGCTCCAAGCTTCCGCCAATCACGAATAGTACCGAAACTCGCGAATATTGGCTGGCAATATCTTTGTAGTCGGCTGGCATATTAGCCTGCCTCTACTGCGACGTTAAGCATCATCCGGACTCGCTGACTTGCTCCGGTTTCGTTGAAGGGCGGTGGTATCTTCCGTGAGCCATATCAGGAATTCCCTTTGGTCAGTCACCTGAAGGGACGGAGAAGTATCAAGGACAGGTGTCCGTCCTGTTGGTGTCTTACAGGAGGGGTCCGGTAGTTTCCGACACTGGTGCATTGTTGCTTGGGAGCCTACCAGTAAGTGGTCAACAGCAACCAAGGGGATGATGCCCGTAAGGCAACGTCGTAAGCCCAGACCTCCTTCTTCGTGTCGTCGCTTTTGACAGAAGGGTCAAACGTGAGGTGTGCAGGGTCTTGCAGCCGTGTGCCTAAGAGCGCAGTCATGCCCTCTTGTGGCGACAACAGATGTTCCTAGCCCTGCCTCTGAGCAGCTTCCAAGCAGCCTTTCGTGTCAAGGGTGAATCTTCGATGTTTGGGTCGATAATGTTCGGTTTCGATACGCGACTGCCCCGACAATGGGAACCACTGATGGATTCGAACCGGAAATAGTGACCATGAGCCACGCCTCTAAAAGGGAGCGCTGGAGTCGAGTCAGAAGGTGACCATGGAGGGCATGAGGGTTTGAGGGGTCTACCTACCTACGCACCTTACTACTTATCCATCTAAGCTGAGGTGAGTTCATGAAACGGGGGTGAGGTTCGTGGACCTGGCAACCATTGGAATTCAAAATCGGAAACCACAAGATGGCGTGCCCTGGGTGGGGGGCGGCTGGAAACCTCGAGGACATACCTTACGTACCTTATATAGTCCCACTCGCCATGGGTCAATGAAGGCGGCCATGGACAGCGGACCTACAGCGCACATCATCTGCCGTTCCGGGGGGATGTGCCGAATCTACATGTAGCACTGCCGAAGGTTACTTTCGCATCTACGACGTGTATTGGCCACATCTCTCCGAGTCTCCAGTGGATTGAGTACCAATGCGAGTATATCGGCTGGAGCCCTGTAGCCGTTGCCCCGGAAGATGTGAACATCCAGCCTGAGTCACACCTTGTTGGAGTCGGTCTTGCAAACCGGGAGGGCGGCGAACAGTCGATCCAGGAGCTTGTCGCAGTCATACCACACGGCAGGTGAGGATAGCGGTAGTGATATGTATATGCACGTGGTGCTGCCTGAAGACGGTGGCCCCTGACCTGAAAGATAAAGCCCGTAGGTAACTCCATGCATCCAAACCAGGATTGGCCCTAGATGAGCCGAGGGGAACTATGCCGTGAAGATGGACAAGTCGGTCTAGTGAACATGTGTTGCCTAGGCGGCCGGCAGCTCAGCATTGATCTGGATGAAGTCCCGATCAACGCTCAGTTGGGTCCTCTTTATCCAGAACAGGGAGCATCTCTTTACGCCGCATGGTCACGCCAATCGGCTCAGTTGGCGGATATCAAATGAGTACGCCGTCAAATCAAAGTCCCCCATACTTGGCATAAATATAGGGTCTAAACGACGATCTCGGCAGTTTTCAGGCCGGAACATGCCTACCCATGTTAGACGCTCAACCCATCAGCTCGGCACTGGCACCAAAGGCTTCCCAAGGCCATGCGGTATGGGCCTGCTTTGCGGGAGCAGGAGAGAAGGGGTGTTATAAGTATTAGGCCGCCAGTTTCGTAGTGTCACACCCAACTCAATCCCCTTTCTTCTCCCGTACTTTTCCCTGGATGTTGTAAAAGGACAACGAAAGGGAGTTCCAGCGAAGAGCATCGTGTCCGCTCCAAGATGCATCTGAAAGCAACCCTTGCCTCAGCGGCGGCGCAGCTTGCTGCGGCCCAAGAGCTCATGCGGTTCGGCTGCTCGCAGCTGACCATTGACAGAATCGACCCGTTAGTCAACCCGGGCAGCCTGCCGTCGCCGCACATGCACCAGCTCATCGGGGGCAACGCGCTCAACGTGTCCATGACGCCCGGCCAGCTCGACCCGCCGGCGGCGTCGACGTGCACCAGCTGCACCTACTCGGAGGACTTCTCTAACTACTGGACGGCCAATGTGTACTTCAAGGCCCACAACGGCACCTACAAGATGGTGCCCCTGTTTGCGAACCTGGGCCTCAACGTCAAGGGTGGCATGACGGTGTATTAGTCAGTTGATTTCGTGTAATTCCCCGCGTCTTGAATTCTGACCTTGAAACCACTCATAAGCATCCGAGGATACCAGGCCAGCGCCCGGGTCACTGCTTTCAAGCCGGTATGTCATTCCCTTCGGGCCGGTTCCACAGGGTTGAAGTTCACCGTGACCGACTCGCAAAACACCACCTCAGGGCTTCCGCATGCTCGTCGGCGACCCCAACAACCGCGACGCCAACAAGGTCCCGCCGCAGCTGTGCTTCCGCTGCGAGCACAACATGGAGCAGAATCCCTTTGGCGGCGCGCCCTGCACGGGGTCCGACACTAAGCACTTCCCCAAGACGACGTGCGGCGGCGGGTGGCGCGTGACCGTCACCTTCCCGTCGTGCTGGGACGGCAAGAACACGGACAGCCCAGACCACAAGAGCCACGTGGCGTACCCGGCCAGCGGCACCTTCGAGAGCGGCGGCGCCTGCCCGGCCAGCCACCCAGTCAAGATCCCGCAGGTCATGTACGAGGTCATGTACGACACGCGCGCCTTCAACAACAAGGCCGACTGGCCCGCCGACGGGTCGCAGCCCTTCTACTGGAGCCACGGCGACAATACCGGCTATGGCATCCACGGCGACTACGTCTTTGGCTGGAAGGGCGACGCCCTGCAGCGCGCCATGGACTCGAAGTGCGCCGGCGACCGGTGTGCCGCGCTCAAGAGGCAGACGGATGCCGAGGCTATTGCCTGTACCAAGAAGCAAGCGGCGCGCGAGGACATTGGGGCGAATGCTTGTGAGTGGACCTTGCTCAAGTCACTTTCCTACCTCAGTCTTCGGAAGGCTGAAGTCGATGTGTGGAAGAGAATGCTGACGCACCTCTAATTAGGGCTTTCTGCCATGCCTGGACAAGGCAGCCCTGTGTAAGACGGAGGCGGCCTGAGGGGCCAGGTGAACCTATTCTTTTCGCCCATATCTCGTGTGGTCTGAAACCGTTGTTTGGACCCGGCTGTCGTTGGACTTTAGCATGGCATGTCGTGTTTATCTTGAGGGTCTGGTGGGATCGTTTCACAACCTACTAACTTATGAGAGCGCCAATCCATCCGATTGTCTATGTTGTCAATGCCAAGATGTTTCCCTGTATGATGAACGAAGTAGATGGGCAGCGTTGAGACCGGACCGGACATGGATGGGACGGCGCATGCGCGTCATCGAGTCCCCCGGAGAGCCACAAGGGCAAACCAGTCGACCATATCTTTCCCCAACAAAGGGTTGTATAGTGTAGCGGTTATCACTCCGGATTCTGATCCTCCTGGGACATTCCGGCAACCCCGGTTCGATTCCGGGTACGACCTAGCACGTTCAGCTTTTGCGTCTCTGTTGCCCGCCGTGGTGGGGAGGGTTGAATTTTTCTTGCAGTGGACCCTGAGAGAAATTTTGTGCTTGTTAGCGTGGGACTTTGTAGGCTTTGGGTACCTTGATCGAGTTAGGGGGGTACGAGTTCCAAAAACGGAGAAAAGGGCTTGTATAAAGAACGAATGGAGGAAGAAGGGAACGAGAGGAAGGAAACTTGAAAGAGAAGTAGGACAAGCTCGGTTACATAGCCAGGTGTTTGCCTCGGCGATTCTTAGGTACAGTACTTTGAGCCACGCGCTAGCCAGCAATCAGTTTGTGCAAATTCCCCACAAAAACTGCCGTGGAGCTTCAACGAGTTTCCCGGGCTATCTGAAGCACGGGATCTTCCAATGGGATGGGCCGCTGTTCTTCCAGTCAGGAACTCCGAGTTTGTCTCGTTCGTTCGCGAGTGGACGTCATCGCACCCGAATTTGAAAAGTCAAAGCCGCCAGCTTCGAACGGTATCAAGACTCGATGTTGACAAACTACTATCGCAAGTCTGGCTGATTGTTGAAATCTCAACAGGCGACATCGCCTCTTTGGCGATGACTGTCAACAGCACACCGTCAAGCCATCAAACCACTTCCTAGCGTGGTCGGCGCCATTCCTCCGTACTGCACATAGAGAGTGCAACGGCAAGATGACAAGAATGCCCTCCAGACTGCGGGACTACTTCCTCTCGACATGGAGGACTGACCATGCCGAGCAGAACCTGGTCCGCAAGATTGACTTTTTCATCTTGACCTTTTGCTGTCTCAGCTATTTCCTGAACTACGTGAGCAGCTCCGACCCACCAGACCATGACTCCTACTGGTCGATTGAATTAATTCCGCTCCAGCTCGACCGCACCAACCTCGCCAATGCTTACGTCTCGGGCATGAAGGAGGACCTGAGCTTCCAGGGCGACCAGTTGAATCAGATTAACACTTGTTTCACCATTGGGTAGGTAGTCAGCCCCGGGCCCGATCACCACCCCAGAGGCCAGAACTAACGCGCGCCCAGCTACGTCCTCGGCCAGATCCCGTCCAACCTGAGTCTGCACTACGTCAAGCCGCGCTGCTTCTTCCCAGCCATGATGGTCGTCTGGGCGGGGCTGACCATGGTGACGGCGTCGACGCACTCCCCACAAGCCATCATGGCCATCCGCTTCTTCCAAGGCCTTGCCGAGGCCAGCACCTTTGTCGGCACGCACTACATCCTGGGGTCCTGGTACACGGAGCGCGAGCTGGGCAAGCGCAGCGGCATCTTCACGGCCTCGGGGCTGGCCGGAACCATGATCGGCGGGTTCATCCAGACGGGCATCCACAGCAGCCTGGACGGCCGCCACGGCCTGAGCGGATGGCGCTGGCTGTTTCTGGTCGACGGCATCATCACCCTGCCCGTGGCGCTGTACGGGTTTCTGCTCTTCCCTGACACGCCCGCGACTACCGCCGCGCCATATCTCAGCCTGTCGGAGAGGGAGCTGGCCGTGGCGCGGCTGAGACGGCATCATCATCCCCTCGTCGAACCTAATAACCCCTCATCATCTGATGATCAAGACCAGGAGTTTAAACAGAAGACGTCTCCGCTGACGTGGGCCTTCGCAAGGAGCGTCCTCGCATCGTGGGAATGGTGGGGCTTCGTGGTGCTGTGGATCATCGCCGGCGAGACCGAGTCCTTCTCCTCGAACTCTCTGCTGGCCCTCTACATGAAGAGCTCCCCCTCTACGCCACGCTACACCGTCGCACAGCTCAACAACTACCCGACCGGCGTCCCGGCCGTGGGCATCGTCTCGACGCTCTTCTGGGCGGCGCTGACGGACCTGATGGGGGGCAAGCGGTATCTGGTGGGGTATTTCATCGGCGTCACAGGTGTCGCGACCAGCGGGATGATCCTGGCGGCTCGGGGGATGGACAACAGCGAGAGGGCCACGGCCGTGGTGTTCGCGGCGTACTACTGGGCTGGCGCCGTGTATGCGTGCCAGGCGACCTTCTTTGCGTGGGCCAACGACGCCATGCGGCTGAGGGAGCCCGTGTTCCGGTCGGTCGTGCTGGCGGGCATGAATCTGGGGAGCAATGCCATCAATGCGTGGTGGAGTATTGTGTTTTATGGCGCGAGTATGGCGCCGTGGTTTGAGGTGAGTTCAGGCTGCATGCTGAATGTCCGGTGAGGGGGAGAGAAGAAAAGAGTGGCTGATTCCAGGCAGAGAGGCATGTACGCCATGATTGCAACGTCGGTTGCCCTCGTTGGGTGGACCGCTTGGCTGTCGTACGTTTCCGTGAGGGATGAGAAGCAGAGACTGCAGGGTGAAGTGCCAGGCTCGAGTGCTCAACAGGTGGCCAAAAGTGGAGAGATTGGATAGGAGGTGACACTAGTAGTTCGGAATAGGAGTAAGTCATACCTGCGAGCATGGATCTGACCAAGGGCTGAAAAGAACATTAATGGCTATGGCACTTCTGCTGCTCATCATAGCGAACAACAAGCAACAAGACCAGACCAACCCATCACACAGCCCTCCCACCCTCAACTTCACTTACCTAGTACAAACTACACGTATAGCACCCCCGAACCAACGACGTCGTCCCAGGAATCATATTCCTCTCTGTAACAGGACACTCACCACCATTGACCAGATACCTCGCCACAGCCGTCGCCAAATTGACATGCTCGCCTCTCCACGCCTCCCCCTTCGCGGCGCCACTGGCCATGGGCCGCCCCAGATGCCACTGCCCGGCATCATTATAGATCCTCGTCCACACCGCAGCATCCTCGAGCGCCAACATCCCCCTCATCTCCCTCAGCATCTCAGGCCAGTCCCCGTCCGACCCAACCGAAAACAACTCGATCCTGCGCAGCGTGGCTTTGTGGCTGCCCAAAAAGTCCATCAGCATGGATCTAGGTAGATTCAGCCCGCCTAGACTGATCGATTCGAGACACGGCCAGCGCTGCTGCTTTCCCTTCCCTTTTGACCCCCTATTTGCATCATGATGATGTGTCTGTCCAAAACCGTCAAACCCCTCCTCACCCGACCCGAGCACGTGTTCCAGCGAAGGTAGCGTCACACCATCATCATCCCCTGCAACAAGCGAGATATTAGTAGGCCCCAGCCCATAGCAGAAACTGATCGCGAGCGAAGTCAAACTCGGCATCGCCGCCAGAAACGCCGGCAGCGCGCCCTCTGAGCCCAGAAGCCGCGCGTACCGCCGCAGGTCTTCACGCGGAGGAGTCTGGTGCAGGTCTCCCGGCCCCGGCCCGCCCCAGGGCCGCGGTGCATCATCGCGGCGGAAGACGCCGCATAGGCAGAACTGGAGACTTAGGTTGCGGATGCCCGTGAAAAAGGGGGTGAGCTGCGGCCGCCGGGTGGTCGCCCAGCCTAGGTCTTCGAGGGACTCCCAGCTCAGACCGAGCGCTTTGAGCGACGGGAAGGTGACGGTTCCGCTGCTGCTGCTGCTGTTGTCGTCGACGGCGATGGCCCGGAGCAGCGAGGCCAGGGCGCGGCGGCCGGGTTTGCCGTGATGCGGGTGCGGGTGCCGCGTCGGTGGGCGCCATGATGCCCAGCTGTTTGGGCGGTTGCTGCTGCTGCTGCTGCCCTTGTGTGTGGTTGTGTGCTCGGGCCGGCCGGCCTCGCAGTTGATGATGAAGCTGCGCAGGCCTGTCAGCCGGGGCAGCACGTCGGCGAAGAGCTCGTAGTCCAGGTCGTGGCTTAGGATGAGAGCCTGGTTCCGGCAGGCCTTCTTGTACTTGTCGAGGGCCTGTAGTGTCGCCTCGCTGATCAAACCGGAACTCTGAGGGACATAGTTGGTTACTTTGATGTCTGGGTGCTCCAGGGGGTAGAAACGCCCCGGGCCATACACCAGGGACCGGATGGACGCGGCCTTGATGGGGTCGCTTGCGACGGCACGGAGCAGGTCAAAAGCGTCCGAGTTCGAGGAGACGGAGACCTCCCGCAAGACGAAGGGAGCGCCGATGGCGCTAAGAGTCCGGCAGCCGAGGCGGAGCCTAGCTGCGTCGGGGAGGTCAAGGTAGGCGCAGATTTTGAGCCAGAGCTCTGGCGGCAGCCGCCACATTGGCTCACCCGCCATGGCAGTCATGTCCGAGCCTGCGCAACTACGAGTCACCGAGAATGTGGTTCCAAGCGGGCGATGTCGACTGCCATTTTAAAGGACCCCACCCTCTGTTTGTGCAAACGGCACGCGGACACAGCTCTGTTGGAGGTGTGCAGGCGTCCAATCATAGCGGTACGGCCCGAGTATTGGAGGCTTTGTGTAACACGGCCCGATTGAAGGAGGCAAGATGCACTGTGTGCTATGCTGTGTGCCTGCTGTGTACCATTCCCGAACATTGCTCAGAACAGTCCATATGCATAAGCCACAGCAGTCGAGACCAACCGGCGGCCTAGCCCACCAACGCACTGCATACGAAGTGTGCCGTCCATCGGTTTGTTTGCACATCCCACAGCCGTTCTCTGCGCTGGCGCCAAGACAGTGGAAGACGCTCCGAAGCTCAGAGCCTTAGCGAGATATCCATACTGGGTCAAGCATGTTGATGCTCGCCTGATGAACTTCGGAGCTCGGTTGACCAATCCCGGTATTTCTAACTCATGAACGGCATCTGGATGATCCGCTTGCCTGTAGAACTGGTCAGCTGTGCAATTTTTGACCCTCCAAGAACGACAGAACCGGGGACCGACGCTCTCCCCACGTCTTCTTGGGCGTGTTCTCCTCGACGTGGATATGCCACATCCACAGACACCACAGCGCGACAAGACCGTCCCGCGCGCTCCGCGGCAGGGGCACCACCACTCTCAGTCTGTACTCGTCCTGCCGGGCCCCGGCATCGTTCCTCTCGCGTACCTCGGTGGCCACGACCCTCCCGCCGGGGTCGCTCCACTGCCAAACGCTGCCGTGCTCCTTGATAGCAAAGTGGTACTGCCCGTCGTCGACCTTCTTGCCCTGCTTTTCCAGCCAGCGCTTCTCGTGGTCTGAAACGACCTTGACCGCGCGATAGCCGCGTTGAAGAAGGGGGCTCTTCTGGATGGCCACCTTGCCCAGCGTTTTTCTCGACCTCGGCTCCATCCAGGCCTGGAAGCCAAAGCCCAGGTGTGGCATCTCCCTTTTGTGGTCCAGCTCGTACAGCTCCTTGGCCCGCTTCGCGAGGCGCGGGGTGCCGTCCGAGGCGGTGCGCACGTGCACGTCCAGGCGCTCAAACGTCATCTTCTCGGTGACGATGCCCTGGGCGTGGATGGCGCGCGAGAGCTGGTAGGTGGGCTCCGAGTCGGCGTCGCCCGACGGTCCCAGCGGGTAGATGAAGCGGCCGTGGATGACGAGATCGGCGGGCCCGAGGCTCTCGTCGGGATCGGGGCCGGCGCCTTCGGTTTGGTAAGCGGGCGGTTCATCCGTGCTCGGCCCGGCTGGAGGCCGCTCTGGCGGTGGTGCTGTCGAGGGATTTTCCTTTGAGGGTTTCGCTTTTGAGGGGTCCATTTCTAATTGCCTAGGTACTATTTGACTGCGCTGTGAATCCTCAATCGGGCGCTAACCCGTCGTCAGCGATGGATTTTGTATTCAAACTGTCTACCCCTTTTTATTTCTCTTTGAGTGAAGGTGTGGATGAGACGGAAATGATGTCAGGCGGCAATGGCGTCCTCTTCAGTTAGGTCTGGCAGTGCGACCGCACAGCCCCATCTGCCGTGTCACAGCTTGGCGGGCAAGGCAGACACATTGTCTGATTCTTTGTGCTGACACCTCGACGGCGGCGGCATTTTGTATTGGTCCGAGAGCTTTGTCTGGGTTGCATGTCCATGATTTGCAGGAATGGCTCCGGGAATTTCAGTTCAGCGCATCATTGAGTTTGTGAATCCGTTATACGTGGATGGTTAACGGGGCGCCAGAGCCCAGGTCGGCATCAGCGCCGTGCTGCGGGTAGCACAAATCAGGTGTTGGTGTGGGGCTCTCCCACCATATTTTCCAGACAGCCACTGCATTTTTATCTACCACACACTGCACTGATTATATATCAAGGCAATTCCATCGACGTGCATCACCAGTTTGCCGGTTCCACCCATATCAGGCAACTGACCACTATTGCCACGATGCGCTGGTTTGCAGAATGGGCTGTTACGGCATTGGAGTTGTTGAGTGGCTGCCAAAGATTGATGACTGGACTTGAACGTAAATGGTCGATGCATTGCCAAAAGAGTCCATGGCTCCCATGCGCCGAGACCCGGCGAGACCCGCTCCGATAACGCCGAGTGCCCCGCAGTGGATCGGTCTGCCGCTTCCGTCGAGGACACATCCCGCGGAGACCTCCGGTCATGCCTTCCTGCGGTGATATGAGCGCAGGCTTTCTGGAGAAACAGGGTGGACCTTGTGGGGGGTTTCCAGCGAGATTCGATAAGATGGCATTGTCTGAATGAGCGACACCGAATTTTACCAGGTAGTGACGACCGTAATCTGGTCCGCTACGATTTTCAAGCTTTCTGAGGCTGTGGGCTCGATCCATGTCTGGGGGCTGTTGTCCTAACCTCGGGTGATGGAGCCCCTCTGCTGTGCAACAGTCGCTTTGACAACTAGGCCTAGAATCTGTACGTACGTACTAGAGACTGTTGAAATGCTGATAGATGGCTGTGCAGTACAAGCTGGAAGCTTGTAAACGAAGGTCAACGTTGTCTGATCTCTTCCCTCCCCCCCCCGCGCGAATTTCGGATGCTGCCGCCAATACCTGGCCTGCTTTCGGTGACAGGCAAAGACAAACCCGCTCCGAGGAAACCCTTCACCCCCTCAAAAAGGTGGAAGTGGACAAGAAGTTTAGGGATTGGAAGCTACCTGGTGGGGCCGTTGCTGCAGCTAACAATCAACATGGCCGTCCAGTGATAACTAAGCGCAGTGATTTCATTGATTTATTACCCCTCCTTGACATCGAACATGTCGTCCATTTTTCTTTTCGAGTTCAAGTCGTCTTGTCAACTCCTGAGTTAAAAATCGAGGGGCATTTAGAGTCACTCCCTCGGACGCCAACATGCAAACTTCGACGCTGGCCCTCGCCGGGCTGGCGGCCACTGCTGCCGCCGAAACGATCCGCGGCGTGCTTGTCTTCTCCCGCCACGGAGACAGTATGTTCTTAGAGCGACAGATGAAGAACATGGCGCTGACATGATGTCCAGGAACCTCCAAGCACTTCCGCAACCAAACTCTCACCCCTCTCGGGGCGAAGCAAGTCTACCAGGTTGCCCAGGACTACCGCGCCCGCTACCTCTCCTCCGACTCGGCCCACCAGATCCGCGGCATTTCCGAGTTCGAGTTTGTGCCCGCCCAGGTCTACGCCAGCGCCCCTGACGAGAGCATCCTCCTCAACACGGCCACCGCCTTCCTGCAGGGCCTGTACCCGCCCCTGGGCGACATCGACGCCGCTGCCTTCTCCACCATGGACGAGCTGGCCAACGGCACCTCGGTCTCGTCCCCGCTGACCGGCTACCAGTACGTCACGCTTCACGGCGTCAACGACGACTCGCCAGAAAGCGTCTGGATCAAGGGTGACGACAACTGCCCCGTCCTCACGACTGCCTCGGCCTCATTCCAGGCCTCGGCCGAGTACAACGCCCTCCTGTCCTCGACCCGCGACTTCTATCAGTCCCTCTACCCTTTCGTCTCGGAAATCTACCCCTCGGCGTCAGACCTGAGCTACGCCAAAGCCTACGACATCTTCGACGTCGTCAACGTGGCCACCATCCACGACGCTTCCTCCCCGGCGCGCAACATGTCGGCCTCACAGCTGTTCCAGCTGCGCACCCTCGCCGACAGCGCTGAGTTCGCCGCCAACTACAACGCCACCCAGCCGGACCGTTCCATCCACGCCGCCACCTTCGCCGGCTCGGTGCTGAGCCACCTGAACCAGACCGTCTCGTCGCAGGGGCACACGCCCAAGTTCACGCTCCTGGTTGGCAGCTACGACACCTTCCTGTCCTTTTTTGGATTAGCCAACCTGACCGCCGCCTCATCCGACTTTTACGGCCTGCCTGCCTATGCGAGCACCATGGCCTTCGAACTGTTCACCCCGACCACCACCACCACCACCGACAACAGCAGTGAGCAAGAGGAGAACTTTGACATGGCGGATCTGCACGTGCGCTATCTCTTCCGCAACGGCACCGAAGCCAGTCTGCAGGCGTTCCCGCTCTTCGGGACGGGCAGGACGGAGCTGCCGTGGGCGGAATTCGTCGACGTCATGCAGGCGCGCGCCATCAGCTCGGCCGGGGAGTGGTGCGGCCGGTGCCAGAGCACGGCCGTGTTTTGTGCCGCGTATGCTACTAGTACTACTAACACAGGCGATAATGATAATGATGGGGTGGCTGTTGCGGGGGATAACAAGGGTGAAGAGACGGTGAGCAGGGGCGCGTGGGTCGCCGTGCTGGTTGTCATGGCTGTTGCCGTGGCTGGGAACATGGTTTGGGCGGCCATGTGGCTCGTTAGGAACCGCCGGGTGAGGGAGGAGAGGATGGCGGCGGCTTCGGCGGCCGTGGGCAAGGCGGGAAGTGTGAGGAGTGTTGGCAGAGAGAGTGTTTAGGCATGTCTGCGGTGGATTGGGAGTCATCTTCGAGACTTGATTGACAATGACGACAACTCTGATGGGATTTAGTCGTGACTGCTCGGCTTCAAGTTGGATACGAGCTGATGTTGTTATGAGGCTACGAGACAGATAACCGAACGAATGGCTGTGACGCAGTTAGTACACGGCGGCGTGGAGGATATGATAGAGCAACTGAGTAGAATTGAAGAAGTACTAAAGTCTGAAGCTGACACTGATGACATTCCTTGGTCGCCGAACGCAACAAGCCACAACGGTGACAAGAAGACAGCTCTAGGCTTAGTTCCAGTCCAGAGCCTTGATGGCGCGGTAAATGCTGTGACGAAGGAGGCCCTCACCGACCCTTCCGCCTTTCACCAGTCTCAGACTTGACGAACCGGAAAAACCAAGTTGCCCATCTCCATCAGACTTTAGCTCGACCAGACAGCAGGGCCGGGCCTGGGAAAGCCCTTGTAGCCGTTGTAGATGTTGAAGGACGCATGGGGATCGCTGGCCTTGTAGGTGCCGGGGAACTTGCCTGTCGGGTCGGGCTTGCCGGTGCCTCAATTGACAATTTGATCTGCAGGCATGAGACCTAGTGCCCGGGCTGCTTGACGTGGCAGCGGTGGGCACCCGGCACGCCGTGTTGTTAGCCAGAGATGTCCGTGTGTAATTGGCTGGGGCGAGTGACGTACCGAAGTGCTCGAAACGTGCGAGGTACTCGCCGTTGCGCGTGTTCTTTGGGATCTTGGCGGCGAGCCAATTGCGGGGGGGTTGGCGCACCAAGCGCTGCTGGTAGCGCTCAGGAAGTCGACGTTTTCGTTGCAGACACCCTCGTGGTGGATCTTGAACCAGTCGCCCGGTCCGTCATAGGCCGTGATATTGTCGTTGGGGGCCCGAGAGAGATACACGAGACCGGGGCCTATCAGACGCGAGTGATGTCAGACAATGATGCCGAAAGCAATGCATCCAGGCTGCCTCGCGGGGAATGTTGAGCTGGTCTGGAGAATCGGCATCAGGGCCGGGAGGGATTTGTTTGGGGCGGGTCTTGGTCCTTATCAATCAAGCCGCAGGGCTGCTTCGCGAACCGGGTGCGCACGACGCCGGCTCGCATCCACCGCATCCCTGACAATATGACCTTTGGGCGTGCCACTTGCCGGACGCAGTTCGATCGCCGAGATCTGCCCTCCGCAGCCCTTGAAGCGTCGTATTAGGTTGCCAGTGTTCAGGCCCCAGCTCTCCAACCGTCCGACCTCACGACCAGCGTACCAAAATCATCCCACTCCTCCACCGGCGGTTTCTCACCGGGGTGCTGGAAGATGGTATTGGCAGCCAGACGGAGACGGATTCCATCGCCGGCGTTCACCGTCAGGACACTGGTACGTTCAGCGCTCGCAAAAGCGCCCTGGTTGCAGCGGGAGTCGGGTCCGTCGATGGTCGCGCTGTCTCGGATATCCGCGGCAGGATTGGTCGAGAACTTGATGGGTTTATACTTGGTCTTCCGGGTCGACTCGCTGAGTATTTGTAGGCGGGGCTGGACGGCTCCGTTCACGATGTTCGTGTCGAACTAGTAATGGCCGAGATTCCGTGGGCCACGGTGGCGCCAACGAAGAAAGAGGAGAGCTTCATGTCGAACTCAGAAGGGGCTGGTTTCTAAGAAGACCACGATTCTCAATATCGAGGTCTCGTCCTATGGACGAAGAACTGGCTGACCGACCGGG